TTTCCTCCCTCCTTCCTGCTGCACGTCGTGCAGAGAGAAGGTTTAACAACCGTAGCTTTTTTCACACCCGTGTTTTCTCAGGAAAAAAATGTTTTTTAATGTATTGTTACCCGCAGAGATGATAAAGATATGTGGACGTTCGTTCAGTCATAAATCCATCTTGCTAATGTCGGCTTCTGCTCTGATGATGATGGAAGATGAGAGAGGAGCAGCTGGTCAGAAGCTCATTGTATGGCAGGCCGATCTATCGTTTATTTGGCTTCACCACACTTATATTCTAGTTATCTGAAATTGTTTTATGACTAAATTAGACATATTAGTTATTTAGGATAAAATAATAAAATGTTTTCTTTTATTATTTGGTTTTATTTACTTTTTTTAATTTGGAGATCTTTCCAGCTTGAGATTGTTTGTTTGTTGAAGTTGATTTTTGAAAATAAGGGGCAAATATGATAAAAAGTTGTTTTTTTTTACCTCACTCTGCACCCTTTTACTTTAGGGTATGATTTACTTTGGTTTTTTTAATGCTGTACATAGATGTTTTTTATGAATGAAAGAAAGAAACAAATAAATAAACATCTCTTAATATATTTTGACAATTCAAAATACCTGTTTAAGATATATCTAATTATATTCTGACTTGTATAAATAACATTAGATTTATCATCATGTTGTATGGAGACTCCAGTTCAAGATATCTTAAATGTAGTTTTGGATATAAGATTCACTATATAAGATTTAATAAATGCAAATTTCAGACTTTTTCATGTTCTGTAAATTGTATTTAAAACAAAGCTGCTGCTGTTGATCATTCTGTTTTCATAAACCCCACCCCTAAGGCCAKTACTCTAGGGAAACACTTTTTTGAAGATGTTCTTGATAATACAATTGGCTGTTAGTAACTCAGTCTAAAATATTTGCATCTGTTTAATCAGATGTCATATATTATACTGTATACCTCTTTATAACCATGTTAATATTTTTGTAGTACAAAGTACAGTACACGTTTTTCTTATTTTATCAAAATTTGAACATTTTTGTTTCGGGCAGGTAAATTTTCATATCGGGCAGGAAACATTTGTTGTCTTCTGCCCGACAGGCCAGGTAAAAAAATAAAATCTTGTCGAACCCTGGTTAAGATGTTGTTTTTTTTTTACTCTTGATGAAGCTTATAGGTTTGACTCCTTGTCACCTCCTCCTCCTGTAGCTACAGAGGCACAGACATTTGGCTAAGGATTACTCCCCGGACCTGTACTCTCTGGAGCTGTCTGGCTTGGAGGAGCTGAGTCGACTTTATGGCAAAGACTCTCCTCAGTACAACGACGCCACGGCTATTCTCTCTTCTGTCCTTCAGAAGGTAAGGAGGACATCTGTAGAAGTGATGCAGCTGAAGATTTTTACGTGGAACCTGGTTTTGACCACCTGTCTGCCTCTCATTACAGTTTGGTGAGGATATGTATCGTCTTTATGGGAACAGCGCTGTAGTGGAGGTTATTACAGTGAAGACTTTTGAAGCCCCTTTAACTAGAAAGTCACGTTCGATCCTGGAATCCAAGCAGATTGTAAGTCTGAAGCAAGTTTTTTAGCTTTCAGTGAAATGCGTATGATTGTGAACCAAAGCAGTGTAAATTTAGACATATTTATTTATAATGCTTACATAGAGCCACGTTTTCTTGTAATATTTTAAATTGATCTTGATCTTTTTCTCAGGCTTTATATACAGTAGATCTTTCAAAGTTTTTAGGGACTGTGGCTTTCTTCACAAATTTTTAGTCCAGCTTGTGTTTTTTTCAGAGAAATATTTTTGTTAGCTTGTTTGAAGTCACTTAATTCTCACCTATGAATCATTTAATTATAAAAAAAACCTGCTGAACTCTACGTTASGTTTAGAAGTATGGTGTGAATTAAGTTTTTGTCAGGGTTAGGGAAAATGTCAGGGTTAGGCATAAATGCAGTTACAAAAATGAATGAAAGTCAATACAAAGTCCTCAGTTTGATGGAAGTACAAGGATGTGTGTGTATCAGGTACAAAGACTGGTAAAAGCCTCCCACATCCAAGAAAAACTTGAAAAGACATTCCTTAAATTCTGAAGAATGATTAATGAAGGATTATATAAAACCACTTATAATTAACCTATAATTAAAATATTACAGACGTCTGGCTCTTTAAAAGCTAAGTGTAAACACATACGAAGTGTTAAAACCACCCCGCATCTATTTACAGAGTCGTGTTTATCAAAAAAGCTCAACTTCATTGCATAAAGACATGATAGTAAAAATAAAACAAAACTAAACAAAAAAAAAGCTTTTAAATGTTATACTAAAACTGTTTAATCAAGTTTTTTTTCTTCACCAGTTTAAACAGATCAAATATATTTTTTAAAAGAAGTATCCTAAAATCCTATATGCTCTGGGTCCCATCTACACCCTTGGACATAATTGCTGGTACCCCTCGTTTGATGAAAGAAAAACTCACAATGGTCACAGAAATAACTAGAATCTGACAAAAGTAATAATAAATAAAAATTCTATAAAAATGAACAAATGAAAGTCGGACACTGCCTTTCAACCATGGTTCAACAGAATAATAA